AAGCATATCTTTCAAAATCTTTTCATTTCTTCACTGGGAGGCCTTTGCTTCTTCTGCTTAAGTTGCTGTGAGTATGTCTGAGTTGGTCAGAAAAAGCAAATATTCTGACCTTCTAAATAATTTTTATAAGTTTTGACTTAAAGGATGAAGGTTTTATCATCTCTGAGTATCCATATGTTTGCAGAGCACCCATATTAGCTATTTAGAATAATAGTGCTGAGAGAGTCCTCAGGGCACTCAAACCTGCAGCAGTCAAGCTCAAGCCACAGTAAAAAGCAGAGCACAGCAGTCTTCCTACATGGCTCATGCAGTTGTTCCTAAGCAGCATCTTAGAGGACTATTTCATGAAGAGTGTTTTAGGAGAGAAGATGTAGTAACTAGATGTTGAGGATCAAATCATACATTACTAATGCTTAGAATGTAGTTATTTGGCAGCAGAGAAAAACACCAGAAAACAGAATATTTATTCCCTCCACTATTCTTTGTGCTACATTTTCTGTTGAGCTTATTTAGTTTTATTATTCTTGTTAGTAAAAATGAATATCCAGTACTAAAACATTTAGGAAACACAGCACTGCCTGCACTTCAGGCCATTAAATCTTTGTAAATCAGCCCTGGAATATCAGCCTTTCCAATACATCATTATCTTTTTGCATGGTGAGTTGCTCTAATTGCAAACTGTCTAGATGAGATCCCACCCGTGCATTGTAAAATCACCACAAAGCATAATTGGATGAGTCTTAACCATTCTTGGCAGTAGTCAATCTCTTCTACCCCAGTGGCTTGTGAAGGTATTAAAGGAAAGGACAGCTTCAATATGTATAAAAGAAGGTTTTGGCTACTTATTTTTACAGTGAGGAGAAATCTTTCTGTGGACGGGGAGGAGCAGGAAATCTCCAGCAATAAAAATGTCAAAAAAAAATAAAACACATGAACACAATTAATGACTCAAAAATGCCTTTTGTTTCAACAGCTTCACTTAGTTGCCTTCTGGTAGCCAAACACCACACTAACACACTCTTACAGTAATTTTAATTTTTTTCCTTGTATTTAAACTAATTTTTAAATCCATCTTCAGTTCCCGCCTGCCTAAAGTGAGATAGAGTGCCTACTCTCCTAAATTGGACTCATGGCCTTTTCTTAACTTCCTTTCAAATGTGTTAATGCAAGCAGAGGACAGGGCTCTCTGCACAATTACTGCAAAGGTGCAACACTTCTCTGGATTTTAATTCTCAGAGTAAATGTACACAACCTGCTGCATTGGTTGCCAGCATGTCTCAAGGACAACCTTTGATCTATCCAAGGTAACTCCAAGATGAAGTTCATCTCCCATGCCAGGCAGCTGGTTCCCAAACTTAGCTTCTCTTTGGAAACCCATAAATGGACATCCCTCTCCTTGGATACTTGGCTCAAAGACTTTAGTAAGGACTGTTTGCATGGAAAGATCTGGATTGAGAGTTAGTATCTGATATCACCTGCATGCTGCCTGTTATTGGTGTATGTTCTGGCATTTTCCAGAGCAATGGTGCTCAGCAGCTTGTGAGAAGGACTGTTAGGAATGTAGATATAATAGACAAGGATTTTTTAAAAAATGCATTGCTTTTGCTGGTTTTTTGTTTTACTGTTCCTGCAGTGAAAACAAAAATCAGTATAACATGGAGATGTTCAGATCTTTAAAGTATCATAAAATGGGCATTGAAAAATCACTGGCACCAAGAGGAAGGCAAAGAAGACACCTAACTTTGTGTAAGACTAGTGTCAAAAAACATTAAAATCCTTCCAGAGCATGTGACTTTCAGCTCTCTCATGCACATAAGTGTCAGAATGTCAGGTAGTTTTGCTTAGAGAATATGGCACCATCTATTAAATAGTTTCTGTTAGTTTCCTAAGAAAACTTTCTAGTTAAATATTTCTCATCAAAAACCAAGCTTCATTCATCTTTTGATTCATCTCACTTTTATTAGGTACTAACCTAGCTTGCTCAGGCAAGTGTGTAGGAAGGTTTGATCTTTTCTTTTTTGAGTTGGAAAACTTCCATGGCAATGTATCGGCCATTTATGCCTTTGGAAAATATCACTATCCATTATCCATTCCCATTCTTAGACAGAGAAAGTTACAGCCAGCATTTACTGCAAGGACACTATAAAAACATTTACTAGCCAATAGTGTTGTATTCACTATGGAATATGTGTCTCAAAGAGAAGGGGAAGTGGAAAGGGGAAGCAACTAATAGTATTTTACATATTTAGATAATTTTTTGGTCCTCAAAACTTCCTGGGCCATTGTTTTCCCCCTAGGTATTTTTTTTTAATTATTATTTCTGTTTAGGGCTTTTTTTTCCTAATAAGTTCTTTCTTTTTTTGCCTCATCTCACTAGGACAGAGCCCCTTTCAAGTGACTTTCTCTGTGCATGTGTTGTTCCTCTAGGGTGTCAACTGAGATTTCTCTGAATAGTTCTGTACATCCTTCTCTGAAGTCTTTAATCCCATGAAAAATCTTTTAGTAGGCAGTCCTACAGCTGCACTCACAGTTTCTGCAACTAAAATGCAATCCTCCTCTGGTACCCACATGGGTTATCCCCTGTGGTTGTTCCTAGATCCCAGACAGACTGTTTGAAGTGGAACAAAATCAAGACCATGCACCTGCCAGCCTGTGTTTTTCCCTCCTGTCCTGGCGGAACTAAGGTGTCTTCCACTAGATCAGGATTGTAGGCTGAATTCAGAGGGCTGAACTTTCCTCTGAAGTGTAGGATTCCTATTAGTGGCTTCTGTTTGAAATTCAAATGCTTTAAGTTTCTTTGCACTGAAACATGTCCTGAAATAGACTGCTAAGTTCAGATGATATACCATAGGAAGTCATCAGGTGGTGCCCTCTCTTGAGTTTTCCCTGCATTGGGGAACACCAGTACAGTCATGTATCACTGGAAACTGTTTTCTAAATTTTCAATTCCCCAGAGCCGCACTGATGAATTTACAATCTTTATAGCATTGTTATAGTTTTATTCCTACTTCTGTTGACCCTTGTGTTGTGGGGTTGGTTTCTGTGTATCCCATACTTTTCATTTCACCTTTTTAAGTTCCAGGTTTTCCTTTTAAGGTAAAAACATTTATTTATTTGCAAGTCTGTATTCTGCAGTAGCACTTGTAAGAGTGGCACCTTGCCATTCACTGTGGTGCTGAAATTCCCATTAGGCTTATAATCATACCCTGGTTTACTAGTAGGACTTCTGTTATACACTAACTAAGCTCCTGAATTATTTCCATCCTAGAGCAGAAGGGATAAATCTCCAGATACATGTGCTTCATTTGTTTTAAAGAATATAATATTAGGCAGAAAATAAAAAAAAATATTATATCAGAAAATCTGACCACATGAAATCAAATGAATTTAAGTATCCTTTTGCATCTCTAAAAACATGCCCTCTCTCACAGATGTAGAAGTCCTGCACGGCTCTCTTCTTTTATTTGTTTTCACCAATACAAAAATAATTTTCAGCAGTTCAGTGGAAGAAAAGACCTTCCTGTCAGTGGCTTGCAGCAGTACAGAAAAGCCTGATCCCCTGAGTTTGTTTTTGTATGGGAAATTATTACACTCTAACACAGGCTAACTTGCCTTGCAACCGCTTGTTTTTCATAGGCTTTTTTTTCAAACTGGAACTCAAATTGTTTTCCGTTCATTAGCATTTCTTACATTATTCGTCTGAATTTTTAACAGCCTTATTTGAATCAGCCTATGAGCTATCACATCCCCCCAAATCCACACTTATGATCTATCAGTCCACAAATCAGCTTTCCAGTGAATGTTTAATCAGTTTATGGTAGAAAAGTCTTTTTATGTAGATTTCAAAAGAAGTTAGACTTACGAAAGCAGGCAGTCTCTGCATGTCTGTCCATCTAACCATTTGGCTATCTGGTATTTGCAATAGGATATTTAAAAACCTGCTGATTGGCATCCTCCGTCTCCGGATGTGTAATGAAAATAAGCAGCTGTATAGGTGTCCCTGTGCAACAGGCTTGCCTACTGAGGGAGAAAAAAATCTACAAGCCTTTGTAGACACATGAGAATCCACTTGGGAATGAGTGAGCAGTAATACTCAAACTGCAAGAAACTCTTCGGTCAACTTGCATGATACAAGAATTTGATGGCAAAACACAGATGCAGGCTTTGCTGTTCCTGCGGTTTGTGGATTGCACAGTGGCTAGGGACATTGAAAAAGATGTTTGAGAGGAAAGTCTCATATTTTGACATCCTTTGCAGAGTCACTAGCTGATGTTTAGTTAGTTGGTGTCATTAATGTTGATGTTTAAATAAGTCAGAGGGAATAGGCTCTAAAGGCACCTATTTTTTCTTATCAGCTGAAGCAGCTGGCTCAGATAAAGGCATCTGCACTGCAGACACCTGTATGTACATACAGTCCAATGCATCCCATTTCCATCATCTGTCTGTAGGACCTTTTTGGAGGGAGGATTTTGTCTGTCACTACACTATGCTCAAATCCACTGATGTCAGCTGTTTAGGGGGCCTAGGTTAGTCCCCTACCACCACAAGGGAACAAGGCCTGCTCCAAACCACAGTGGTGGGAGTAGATCCAGCACCTGTTACTATGATTGTGCCAGTGCACTCCATAGAATGACCACACACCTCAAACAGTGTTGTCATGGGGGAAAATGTGTTCGGTGGAGAAAAACACCTGGCCCCCCCTACCAGGACTATCAGCCTCCCTGTGTGAATCATTTTTGATTTCTTAAAATGTGTGACTCAAGCTATTTATTTTTGTAGGAAGACCTACTGTGTGCTAACAGGTAAGCTTCAGAAGTGTGTATGTCAGTAATTTAGCCCAGCTAGTTCCTGAATTAGGTGGGTTGATCAAGTGCTTCAGAAGAGACTTTTTAGTACCACATGTGGCTTGGTTGTGAGCACAACCCACCTTGCTGCTGTTGCAACATGAATGGGCTGGACTATCACTGCACTCTAAGCTCTGCTCCTTTCCATGATTGCAGGATTTCACACTCCAACCTCCGGGGATGCCAAGGGAAGCATTATGGAGCAGAAGCGCTCCCGTGAGCCTCAGTAAGCATGAGATGGCTGTCTCAAGCAGCAAGCACTGGCAGGGCAAGGCTGACCCTTTCAGTGTGGTAGCTGCCTCCTTGGTGAGCCAACTGCCTGACCAGCAGAAGACAAGCGAGTCACCTCTCAGCTGGTTCAGAGTGTATTTACCCCCTGCACTGCACCCATTAAACAAGACGTTAGTCAAGGGTAACAAGTGGAAGGATGTAGATAGCACGCAGGAAAAGCGCAGGTCATTCCTGCATGACTTCTGTAAGAAGTACAACAGCAGAAAGAAGCTGCAAACCCACCTGGTACACCTGGTGTCAAGAATTTACGTGGAGGACAGGCACAAGGTCCTGTACTGTGAAGTGCCAAAAGCAGGCTGTTCCAATTGGAAAAGGGTCCTCATGGTGCTCAGTGGACTCGCCACTTCAGCACACAACATTTCCCATGATGATGTACACTATGGAAAGCACCTAAGGAAACTGGACAGTTATGACCTAAAAGGGATATACGCACGCTTGAACATGTACACCAAGTTTATATTTGTACGTGATCCTATGGAAAGACTGGTATCTGCCTTCAGGGATAAGTTTGAACATCCAAACAGCTATTACCATCCAGTATTTGGGAAGGCAATAATTAAGAAGTATAGACATAACGCAGATGAAGAGGCTTTGAAAACAGGATCAGGAGTTAAGTTCAAGGAGTTTATCCAATATTTGTTAGATTCCCATCGACCAGTAGGAATGGACATTCATTGGGAGCAAGTCAGTAAGCTCTGCTACCCCTGCCTCATCAACTATGATTTTATAGGAAAGTTTGAAACCCTGGAAGAAGATACCAATTACTTTTTGCAGCTGGTAGGTGCTCCAGCCGATCTGAAGTTCCCTAAATTCAAAGACAGACATTCCTCTGATGAGAGAACAAGTGCAGAAGTAGTGAGGCAATACTTAAAGGAATTGTCTAAGGAGGAGAGACAGCTGACCTATGACTTCTATTACCTTGATTACTTAATGTTCAATTACACATCACCAAGTGTATAGCACCAGAATAGCTTCAGGCTTCTATTAGATATTTATCATTTTGGGATTCAAAGCAACTACTTTGATATCAGCCCTGAAAGGAAACAAAGTTACTGCTAAATGGAGTTGACTTAGTGGGGATTTTATAAGCTAGAGTGATATCAATTGACATTAAATTATAAGAATGCACAGAAAAGAAGACCTGTTAACAGCATAAATTGCACTAAAATGCCTGAAAAAGCTGCTTTTACGATTGTGGATTACACTATGGTAGCTCAGCCAGCTGTTGCGTTATCTTACCTAATGTTCTTTTAATGTTTTACGAAGAAAACATTCAGAGTAGCGTGATTCTTTTTTGGTGTGTCTGCTTTAGAAATTGTTTTTGAAACAACTTTTGAATGTATTTTTACTTTCTGTCAGTTATTAATAAAGAAGCATTGGCTAATTTTCTAAAATATTTGCAGCATCCTCAGTTGCAAGGCTTCGTTGTTTGATCACCATTAAACTGTAGCCATTTTTAGGCCTGATTTTTTTTTTATTGAAGGATGCACTTGAATACAAATGCATCAAGCTACAAATAACACAGCAGCTCAGTTGATGAGTAGAGTAAATTTGGGTAAGCCTGTGAAGTGCCAGTCCACTACCCCATTTTGATTGATGCACTGGAGCTGACAAATATGAGAGAGCGCATATTTTCTCTACTTTCAGAGAGCTGCTGCATTCGTTAAAATTAAGATTTTAACTTACAGAGGGTACGTCATTACATATGATGCATGGATACTGTGGTCCCAATACTCAATGTAGTCTTCATTTTTGGTGATAGGGCAAAGTTTTAGTGTGACAGCTACGGAACAGTCTAATGTCTGTACTGAGAAGCAACCTCAGTGCAACTGCTGTGACCATTCTTGGTCTGCCAGGGTCCAATCATCAGCCCACCTGAATTTTTAACACAGAAGGTGCGTATGCCCATTGCCTCCCAAGCCCATAAACTGGTGCTGCCTCCAGAGCTTCCTGAAGTCACCTGTGTTTTGCTGTCCTGCCTGCCTTGTCAGCAACCAGCAAACCCCAGGAGTGGGGTGGATGCTTCAGTTATATGGGGTGGGATGGGACCCCCTGGTGGTCTAGTGGTTAGGATGCGGTGCTCTCACCGCCTCGGCCCCGGTTCGATTCCCAGTCAGGGAACCCCTCTGGGCAGATGGAGCTCGTCAGCCCTGTAAGGCCATCCATCCAAGAGAACGTCACTCTAAACAAACCTACATCCTGAGGACCTCGCTGCCACCGTCCAAGCTCGCTCGGCCCCGGCAGATGAACCTCAGGATTAAAGGGTGGGCTCAGTTCAGCACACACTGTGTCTCACCTAAAAAATCCCCTGCGCAGGCTCGAAGGGTAATGACCTTTCCCAAATCTTCGTTCGTGAAGACTGGCCATACTTACTATGGGGTGGGATGTGTATTGGTGATTTTTCCTAGAGGCAGGTATGTCCAGAGTCCCACAGTTCTGGTTATAAAAGGAAAAGGTACCTTCTACATTCTGCTTCGCTCTCCTCCCTCAAATGCTGCCTGACCAACATATGCAGTTGTTCCTGAAACCTCCATTGAAGGATGGGTCACCAGGGTGTCCCAGGAGGAGGAGAATCTCTGAAAAATCACAGGATCATGGAATCATTGAAAAAGACTTTTAAGATCATCAAGTCCAACCATTAACATAACACTACCAAGTCTACCACTAGACCATGTCCCTAAAATGGGTAGGAAAAATCTGTATGCCCTTCTGCAATAAAGATGTCACCTGTTCTTTGCTTTCTGGAGTGGTTTGGGTCATCTTACTCCAGTGTCTTGACATAGCAGGTTGTAGGAAACAGCTTGATGGGAAAGTGATGCAAGTAAAATGTCCTCTCTTCCCAATCACTGGTCACAACTAGTGCAATTATTGCTGTCTTTTCCTTTATCTCAGGCAAATGTACAGTTTCAGTTGTTTCACAGGAGTGGGTCCCTGCTGAAAGGGCAGACCATCTCCTATGTACCCTTGGCTGCTTGTTTCTTCTTCAGTTTTGTCCTCAGAAGAGGAAGAAAGCCACCTCCAGTCTCTGTGGTGCCAGTATGTAATTGAGCAAGCTCTGCATGTCTCTCCTTGTGGCAGGACAAGCCACTCCAAGGGAGAAAGTTGAAGGTGATCCTATTTGTGACTAGCAGCACCCATAGCTGAATCCAGCCTGTTCCCTGGGGCCATAGAGCAAAGAGGAGAAGGAAAAAGACATCATCACTGTGAGGTGTTGCAGTGTGGTATGTGTCATGACCATGAGGGAGGTGCAGATGTTCAGCACCCATAAGAAGTTGCAAGAATGCCTTGGACAGGTAAATACACACTTTTGTATGAGCTTGTGTGAGCTCTTGCTATGCCTGGATGGACCCACAGGTGTTAACAGCAGAAGTGTCTGGGAGTGGATATCTGACAATTGAACTGCCCCCATGCATGCTTTTCCTCAGTAGTACATGTCCCTAAACTCCCCCTTTAACACAAGATAGTGTTTGACTCCGGCCTTTCCTGGCAAAAATCCCTCCAGATTTTCCTGTTCCAGCCACACCATGGGGGCACCAAACTGGAGAGGTGGTTCCTTACAGCTGATGTCATGCTGGACACCAGTACACTGCCACTCCAGTGTTGTGCATCATGCTGGTTAATGGCTCTTACTGCATTCCCATGTGTCTTTACCCAGCAGGATTTAATTTTTATTTAACTTGGCCATGCACTTTCATGACTGTTGCTCTCAAGTGAGACTATGCACTAAGGACACTAAAGAGAACCTCCTGACAGTTTTGATTTTGTACCATCCAACCTCCTAACTCATGAAAAAACTGCCTTGGTTTTCACTTGGATTTGACCTTGCTTTGACCTCTAGATTCTCTGCTCTTGTAAGTATTGAATTCAGCCTCAAATCCTGAGTGAATCTCTCTTGCTTTATAGGAAGGCCATTGAAGTTATTAATAAAAAATAAATTTACACCAACCTTTGGATGTCTATATATTTGCTTTGTCTTGTCTGTTGTGGATGTGTGTAAAATAATTGTTAATTTACAGACAAAAAAATTACTCGTGTACTAATATTTTCAAAAATCATATGAGGAAAAAAGTTTAACTGCTAATAAAGAATGTAAGCCAATCTATATGTGAGTTTTGTATGAATACTTTAATTCAGAGAAATAATAGTAAATCGCAAAGTTTCTGAAGAACTTAAGCTCCACATTGCGTGAGCTTTAGTGACAAACTTTCAGCCTATCTGATCAGAGAATGACAGAGACTTGGGGGGGTGCAGGTGTAATTACATTAAAAAAGCATTGCAGTCTCATAGGATTTTATCTACTAACTGGTCTTAGATAAAGCAATTGTTTGAGTCAAGGAAAGGGTTGAAAGAAATTATTAGCAAATGTTTGTTTTCTGCAAATGAGAGGGAAAATGACATTGATTTGCATGCATGCGTGGACATGGACATCAGGTCCCCAGATTGTCATCTTGAAAATCTGGTATGGCTTACATTTGTGATTTAACAGGGGAGGACACTAGTTAAGGCCTTTAAAGCATGTATGTGCACAGAAGCGTAATTGTTTTAGCTGCACTGTTGTTCTATGGCTCTAGTGAAAGTAATTTAACTTCTTTGTATGCTCAACTTCAAATTTCATAGCCCCTAACTGCACTTAAAAATTCATTCTTTGAAAATCTAACCCAGACATTTGTAAAGAAGAGCCTCTCCATAGTCATCTTCAGCGACCTAAGGGATTCAGATGATCTCAGTAGCAGAATCTAGATTGTACTTTGCCTCATTAACCACATTTTGAAAATCACCAGCCTGCTTTGCCAGGAATTAAGTTACATGATTTAAAATTAACATAAGAGTTTAGCATAATTGAAGTGGGACTGTGATATCTGACTTATGGGATTATAAGAGATAAAGGCATAATTTGCAGCATAAAAGATAACCTCTATTTTTAAAAGTAAATTTTGAAAGGTTAGAGTGTGAGGTTGGGTTGGAACTTTTTTTATATTTTGTAAGAACGCTAAGCAAAACCAGAAACTGAAGGTCATCCTCTATAACAAGTATAAAATCCCATCTCTGCAACTGTGCACAGATGTTTGTCTTATTCAGAAAATTATATTGAACGTATGCAGAAGAGGAATGAAAATACACTCCACAACATTCAGTGCAATTACATTTACACTAGAGATCAGCTGCAGCATGCAGAGCCTCTTTTAAGGGGCTTCATTACAGTAAATGCATTTTAGTTATGAACATTTCTTCATTTGAAGATCTCTAAGCACTTCTCTAGTGCAGGTCGGTTGTCAGAGCAAGTCAGACGTGCTGTAAAGGCATTACAGTGAGTCCGGGGGAGGACTGGAGTAGGAGGAGAGTGCTCCCTTGGCTCATGTGTCTCTTCCAAACACCAGACAGCTGTGCTTCCCTCCTAAAATTTAAACTTGATTTTTGGGAGCTAATGTTCCATATCTGCCTTTCTTCTAAAATGAATCAGTATTAAATAAAACCGAATTGTTTTACTTAATAATAAGGTTTTAAAATAATTAATATATAAAATAACAATAAATTAAAAATAAATTAAACTGCATAGGTGTGCATTCTCAAATTCTGATACACTTGTCAACATAAGGCAGCTTCTTTTTTTTCAGGTAGGATTTGGCTTGCAAAGCTCAGACACAGCCATTATGCCCATCTCTTCTAAAACTGCTGGTAAACTGTTGCTTGCTGAAGTCAGAGGTGTGCGGCCACAGTGCAATCAAACACGACACATACTCTTGAAATGTCCTCTGATGGAACTCCCCCAAAAGGCCAAATTTATTGGAGCTACTCCAGCCTCAGGCTGTTCTGTCTTTGTGATGTGTCCTTGGAGATCACCACTTTAATTTTAGGTGTAGTTTAAATTTAAATGAAAATTGCAATATGACACTTTGCACTTTGAAAGGAAAATATTTTACTAGAGCTTTGTATTGTATACGTAGGTTATGTATATATGTCTTTGTTGTATGTGCCTTCAGGCTAACAATACATCAGATAAATCTTTTTAACTGTAATGCTAAAACCAGTTTATCAACTTTATAACCTCCTTTGATGCCTTCAAAACTACTTTGCTCTCAGAACCTAAAGTCTGAAATCAGACCATAAATTATTATACTTCATTGAAAATATGGATGCACCTGTCCTGTATCAACCAACTCATGTACTGTTCGGAGGGCAGGGCAGGTACATAAAGTACTGGGAGGTGGAACTGTCTGACTTAGCAAAGGGCATCTGTTCATATCACCAGATGCCTGGGATTGCTTTGCCTTCCAAAACGTGTCCAAGTAGGTGGATACAGAAAACAGTCATATTATTTAGTTTAATGAGAATATCTTAGATTGTTTGGTATTAATGAAAATATCTGTTTTGTGGGAGAACAGTTGAGC